GGCATTTAGGGCTTCGGGTTCAGGGGTTTAAAGCTTTATGATTCAGGCTTTAGAGTTTAGGGTTTAGGGCTTTAGGATTCAGGGTTTAGGATTTTTGGTGATTCATGGTTTAGGGTGCTTCGGGTGTCAAGTTCAGCAAGGCTCAGGGCATTTAGGACCTGGGAACCCAACGCCCCTACATACCCTAAACCCTAAACCCTAAACCCCTAAACCCTATGAGGAAGCCCTAAACTCTTTAAAGCCTCAGCGTACGAGCCAACACCTCTAAACCCTCAAGCGGACGCCCCGAAAACCTTAATCCTTAAACCAAGAATAAGACTTTAAACCAAAGAAATAAACCCGAAACCCTTAACCCTGGCTCGCATAGTCTTGGTAGCCCAGTAACCATCTTATAGGAAGGGTACGAAATTTTGGCTGGTTACTTGAAACGGGGAACACAAAACCAAAAACACAGGGTAAAGGGCACCACTGGGCTACCAAGTAATCCGACAGGTTGATGGGATGACAAGCACGCTACTCATCCACGCAGAAGTTCCTGCTTGACGCCGCCTGCACGGTCTTGGGCAAAAGTTTTTGGGCCCGCCACTCCTCATCGGGAGGCTCTCTGCATCCATTCTGCGCGTCTGTGTACCACAAGTGAATGCCGCGCACTTCTGGCACTCTCGTTGAGCACCCACACCCCTGCCGGTTGGAGAGCCCACCCAAGCCTCCACGCAGTGATCCTATGAAAACGCTACTTGGGGGTTCATGGTACTTCTTAACCAATGAGAACTGTACTTACAACTGTACTTATAAGCCCCTTCAGTGCCCTAATATGGCTATAAGTACAGTTATAAGTACAGGTGTAATCGGTTAAGAAGTACCATGAACCTTCAGGTAGAAGCTCAAGGGCTCCCGCACAAATTCTGCAACGGACACCGAGGGGATAGAGTCAGCGAAGGAAGCGCTTTCGGGTTGTTCCATCGCGTTTAGGGCTTAGGGTTTAGGATTTGCCTGGCCACGCTTCCTAGGGTTTACCTCGGGTGTTCCGGGTTGGGTTTAAGGCAAATTTTGGGGTTTTGGTATAGGCTTTGAGGTTGTTTCAGGGGGGGTATTTGTCAATCATGGGGGGGAACCCCTCCCAAGAGGAAGCCCCCAACCCCCCCCCCCTTCAAAGAGTCAAAGAAGCTTGGAGTTTTGGGGTTTAGGGTTTAGGGTCCCCAAGCCCTAAACCCTAAACCCTATAAACCCTAACCTCAACCCTAAGACGGCCAAATATGCCCTAGTCCTGCCCTGAACCCTAACCCTAACCCTATAGTGGCATGTTCTTCAGCACATTCCTTTGCGGGGAGGGGGAGAGAACAAAAACATCCTTTGGGGTCCCCTGACTGCGGACTCTCATATGGGGGTTTAGGGTTTACTGTAGGGTTTAGGGTTTAGGGTTTAGGGGTCTTAAAGGCCCCTCTACGAGGGAAATCATGTTGGGATGCTATGGGTCTACTAGGAGAACCATACCGAAACTGCAGTCTACAGTGGCCATGCGGGAAGAGGGACGATGATCAACAACCATGAAGTTCTTTCTGATCCTTCGTTTTCGGGAAGGCCTAATTAGGAAAGTCTGAAAAACATCCGTAAAGGTTGTCTATGATCTCATCGAATTTCCTTCATCCACCCTCGGGTTTGCTACTGTGGGGTTCTCCTTCTCCTTATGTGGAGTCCCCAATTCGTCAGTCTGTTTTGGGTTCAGGCTTTTGGAGGAACTGAAGTACCCCGAAGGAGCTACATTCGGGAACCAGGTGTACCCCGCGCTGAGGAATAAATACTCTAACCCTGCATCCTCAATCAAAGCCTACAGAACACTCTACTTGCCTACCAGTACAGTTGCATGGGTTACGCCTTCTAGTGCAGGGGTACATACTGCGAAGCTGCTGAGTACCCCAAGCCCCAAACTACACCCAAGAGGAGCCTAGGTCTAAAAGGGGTGCCCTTTTCGTTCTAACGAGAAGTACAAGGGACCCTAAACCCTAAAAAAAGGGAGTAAGGGCCTACGCACTCCGGGTCCTCGTAAACCCCCCGTTAAGACGCAGTTAAGACCCTAAACCCTAAGCCCTAAACCCTAAACCCTAACCCCTAAACTCTCAGCCCGAAACCCCAAACCGTTAAGACGAGCCGGTGAACTCGTAGCATCGAGCGCAGCCAGGGTAGTCGCTCAGCATACGTTCAGGATGGAACTGAAGACCTCGAAACGCGTTGAGGGCTTACAGTGTTTAGGGTTTAGGGTTTAGGATTTAGGGTTTAGGTTTTAAGTAGGGTTCAGGGTTTAGGGTTTAGGGTTTAGGATTTAGGGTTTAGAATTTAGGGTTTATAGTGTTCAGGGTCTTAGGAGCTACAGGGTTTAGGGCGGAATTTGGGTAGTGCGACTCAGGGGCTTCTTTCGGGTTTTAGAGTTGTGTTAACCCTCCTAAATGCCTCAAATCCACCACTGGGGTTCTCAGCCGTGAGAAATCAAACTCACATATTCGGGGGTTCAGGGTTTAGGGTTTAGGGTTTAGGGTTTAGGGTTTAGGGTTTAGGGTTTAGGGTGTAGGGTAAGGGAAACTTAAGGTCTTGACACCATGGAGTGCGGAGTGCGGTTCTGGGCCGATGCAGGGATTTAAGGTGGTCAGAAGACCCCCCCCCCGCCCAAACCCTAAACCCTAAATCCTAAACCCTAAATCCTAAACCCTAAATCCTAAACCCTAAATCCTAAACCCTAAATCCTAAACCCTAAACCCAAAACCAAAACAAAAACCTGAGCCGGTGTGTAGGTTTCATGGCCAGGGTGGCTTCCAGAGGAGCCTGGGAAAACAACAGCGGGCATCTCTTTTGAAGTAAGGTACGGGTGGGGTGGGGGGGGGGGGGTTGTTCCGAAGGCAACCCTAAACCCTAAGCCCTGAACCCTAAAGCGAAGCCCTAACCCTCAACCCTGAACCTAAACCCTAACCCCCAACCCCTTCCCCCCCGCCAAAGAAAGGAGGAACAAGGCACCAGAGGCTGGGTCTGCCTCAGCCGCTTTTCACAAAATCAATTCTAGCCGAGATACCCACAACAAACTGCCCCTGCTTGGGGTTGTAGCGCGGATCATAGAAGCCTCGAGCAGCTTGGGGTGTGGTCAGAGCCTAGGTTTCTAGGACTTTAGGGTTTTAGGGCTTTAGGCTTAGGGCTTTAGGGTTGTAGGGTTTTACGGTTTAGGGTTTTCGGGTTTTGCGGTTTTGGGGTTTGGGGGTTTGGGGTTAAGGGTGCAAGGATGTGCAAGGATGTGCAAGGCTTACCAGTGACTCTCTTTACCTACAGTTGAGGAGGAACTGCCTCTGAATGAGTAGGTGGAAACCCATGCGACTGTGGGCAAGCAGAGTTCCAGCTAAATGACTTCAAGACATTCGAATATTCCTCGAAAGGGATCCCGAATACGACTTAAGAACAAACCGTAACAAAAGGTATGTGGCATGTCTGGGAGGGAGAGTGTCGGTCCTATCGTGTAACCCTTCATACGGTCACAAACAGTGTGCCGCTCAGCTGGAGAACTATATGAAGTAGGGTATATATTTCTTGTACCCCCAAAAGGACACCCGGTATATACACTCACCAATATTAAAAAGGAACCATATATACACTCACCAAAAACAGTAAGATTAACCCTGCTTCATATAGGGCTTGAAATTCTTGGGCTGCCGCTGACTCCTGCAGCTGCCAGTTTAGGGTTTTGGGTTTTGGGTTTAGGGTTTAGGGTTTGGGGTTTGGGGTGTAGGGCTTGGGATGTTATCCCAGCCGTCGCATCCTAAGACAAACGCTCCCCAACCTCCCCTGAGCCTGTACTGGAACAAAGGGTTTAGGGTTGAGGGTTTACAGTGTGCCCCCGCTACCTCCCATTGAGAGTGCATACTTGAGACCTCTTCCTAAGAAAGTAGAACCTCCAACTGTCCTAGAAGTACAATTCAGCAACCCTTATAAGTGGTACTTCCTAGTGGGTCCTTCCAGGGCCCTGGGTCCTATACCCTACACCCAGAAGCATCCAAACCTAGCCTGAACAACCCTAAACCCTAGACCCTACTTAGCCGTAACCCTGAAACTCTTCCCCCTGCCTTCGATCAAGCCATCCGGGCTGTGTGCCATGGGCACCAGACTCCAACCCAGCTCCTCCCAAAGCTTCCAGGTTTAGGGTTCAAGGTCTAGAGGCTTAGATTTAGGTTTTAGGATTTCCTCGAAAACCTTCCCAATTTGAGGGCGTAGGGTTCAGGGTCTAGAGAAACCCGATATCCCCACCTGAACGCTCTCAACAATTCTCAGGGTTGAGCTCGTGTTCGGATATTGGCTGCTAGATTGGTTGGCTTAGGTGTGGCGGTTTGGGGGGGGGGGGGGGGGGGGGGTGGGAAGGGGGCTAACCCCTATACCCCTAACACCCCAAACCTTTCCCTCGACCCTAAACCCTAAACCCTAAACCCTGAACCCTAAACCCTAAACCCTAAACCCTAAACCCTAAACCCTAAACCCTAAACCCTGAACCCTTTGTCTTCAAGTTCAGGGCTCATAGGACCGTTTTGTGGGACATGACATCTTCTACTGCACGGTTTGTAGGGTTTAGGACCTGCGGTAGTTTGAAAGGGTTAGGGTTTAGGCTTTATATGGGGTTTAGGGTTTAGGGTTTAATTCCTGCCTAAGGGCCTAAGGCTCCCTAAGCTTCCCTAGGACTCGCTACCGCCCATGAATCCCCCCCCAGACGCGAGTAGCTTTGCGCCTTGGAAGCCTGGTGGTGATAGGAGTTCACCTCGAATCCACAAGGCTTGTTTCGGCTTCGGGTGTTAACAAAAAGGGGCATGGTGTCCTTTTCAAGCGCACTACCCTAAACCCACAACCCTAAAGCCTAAACCCTAAACCCTAAACCCTAAACCCTAAACCCAATGTCTTCTGCTGTAGGGGTTTTGAGGTTGGGCGGGCTCTGCCTTTTTTTTCTCCTGGGTCTGTCTCGACCCTCCCTCTCCAAATTAACTTGCAGCGCCTTCCGCATTTCCAGCTCCTGGGTAGGTTCCATAACGTGCCAGCAAACTGTAAAACACACTATTTACGTACATTAGCCAGGTCCAGCAATTGTGGTGTTCTTGGCGGGGCCTGGCCATCAACGGGTCGCACGTGTTTTTTACACGACAGGATGTGAGGGCACTGAGCATGTCCAAACAGGGCCACCTTGCCAGTCCTCCCATTTGCAAACACATGACAGCCATGACGGGTTTGGTAAGGATTCGTATGTTTGAAGATGAACCCTAACTTAGGCTGTTAACTAAACCCCTCAAGTATCGGGGGGGGGGGGGGGGGGGGGGGGGGGGGGGCTTTGCAAAACCGTGAGCCTTCAGCCCTCATCGAGCCAGGAGCCAAGGCTCAAGAAGAACAGGCTCATGTTTCAAAATCTCGCCAGGATGTTTGCCGAGTCAGGGTTTCAGGGCTCCGTATTCCCTAAACCCTAACCCTAAACCATCGGATTTGGGGATTAGGGGGCCGTCCCTGAACCCTAAACCCTTTTAGGCTGGGATGTTCTCCCTTAGACTGACAGTTCTTAATAGGGCTTAGAATACCACTATTATAATCCTAAACCCTAAACCCTAAACCCTAAACCCTAAACCCTAAACCCTAAACCCTAAAGCGTAGGACTGGGGGTTGAGACTGTTGAGACGTGCGTCCATCAGCGTGTCCGGATCTCCATGTTGGCCAAGGCTATCTGCGAACCTTGGACCATGGTTTAGGGTTTAGGGTTTAGGGTTTAGGGTTTAGGGTTCATCCAACCGTTGACCTCCCCAACATACCCCCAAGCCCAGCACCACAACACCCTCCACCCGAAAAGGAGCGGACGAGAGAGAGAGGGAGAGAGAGAGAGAGAAAGCTTCTTCACGGTTTGTCTGATTCTATTCGAACGGACGAACCTACACAAGGGAGCAGGATACAACTAGGACATATGAGACCCTCAGGAAGAAGACCGATTGATGTATTTCAAGTTCTTCCGACAGCAACTCTACAAAACCCCAAAACATTCAAAAAGGCCTAAAGCGTGAACCCTAACCCCTAAATCCTACACCCTACACCCTAAACCCTACACCCTAAACCTAAAACCCCAAACCCTAAACCGTAAACCCTAAACCCCTCTTTCGGCAGGGACTCCACTCCGCCAGGGGCGTCTTCGGCTTCACAGAGATGGGATGCCGGAAGCTGTCGTAGTCCTTTTGGAGACTGGAGTGGGGTTTAGGGTTTAGGGTATAGGGTATACAGTTTAGGGTTTGGGGTAAGTCCTTTTGGAGACTGGCGTGGGGTTTAGGGTTTAGGGTTTAGGGTATAGGGTTTAGGGCGGTTTAGTGTTGAGGGTTTAGGGTTTAGCCTTAAGGGTTTAGGGTTCAGGGGTTTAAGGCTTGGTAAGGCTTGGGGGTTCAGGATTTCGGGTAATTAAGTGGGGCGAACTGAAGCGGGGTTTTGGGTCTAGGGCTTGCTACATAAGTCCCCGGGCTCCTAACAAGATCCTGGAAGGACCTGGGATACGAGGCTGCTGAACCCGAAGAAGGTCTGGGGTTCAGGGTCTAGGTTTAGGGTTGAAGGGTTGAAGGGTTGAAGGGTTGAAGGGTTGAAGGGTTGAAGGGTTGAAGGGTTGAAGGGTTGGAGGGTTGGAGGGTTGGAGGGTTGGAGGGTTGGAGGGTTGGAGGGTTGGAGGGTTGGAGGGTTGGAGGGTTGGAGGGTTGGAGGGTTGGAGGGTTGGAGGGTTGGAGGGTTGGAGGGTTGGAGGGTTGGAGGGTTGGAGGGTTGGAGGGCTGGAGGGTTGGAGGGTTGGAGGGTAGAAGTGTTGAAGGGTTGAGGGCTACCTTAAGAACCCTAACCCTACGCTTCTTGTAGGCTGCTTAGGAATCCTATAAGGGTTTGAGGAACTCCCGACCCTAAAAACCGCAAACCCGACACCTGAAACCCCTACCCATAAAACTTTACAACCCTAAGCCCTAAAACCCCTAGGCTCCTAAGCCCGAAATAACCCTATGCCCCAAAACCCAAAAGTAAAACAAACCTAAAAACCCTAAACGTCACCAAACAACCCACAAAGAACTCAGAAAAAAACATCTCAAACGCCCTAAACACCCCTTAAAACCGTAAACCAACAAAACTAAAAACCCTAGACGCCCAAAAGCCTAAACCCCAAACCCCCAAAAGCCCAAAAGGCCTGAAAGCCCTAAATTCCCCAAAAAACCGAATAAAGCTAGACCCTAAACCCTAAACCCTAGACCCTAGACCCTAAACCCTAGACCCTAAACCCTAAACCCTAAACCTTAAAAGCCCGTGTCTCAAAGACAGGGTGCCGGCTCCGAGGAATCACGGAGGTGCCTTTTGGGGGGATGTCTTCTGGAGGGTCGCAGGTTTAGGGGTTTAGGGTTTAGGGTTTTAGGGTTTTAGGGTTACAGGGTTTATATGGATTACAGGAATTATAGGGTTTATAGAGTTTATTGGGTTTGTTTCGGGGTTTTGGGGGGGATGTCTTCTGGAGTGTCGCAGGTTTAGGGGGTTTAGGGTGTAGGGTTTAGGGTTATAGGGTTTAGAGGTTTAGAGGGTTTATACGGTTTATTATAATAAGGGGTTATTAGGGTTTATTTATAGGGTTTATAGGGCTTATCGGGTTTATAAGGTGTGTAGGGTTTATAGGGTTTGTAGGGTTTAGGGTTTTAGCTCAAAGAGATTGAGAACTAGAGCAAGCGTTGAGGCGAAGGAGTTTCGGAAGTCCAGGACGTTTGAGATGTAAGGCTCAGGGTTAGGTAGGTCAGGGAGCTTAGGGTACTTCGGGAGGAATGCACGAGAATTCTGGAATTTAAAGAATAGCACGTATGCCGGGAAAACCCTAAACCCTAAACCCGAAACCCTACTTATCAGTCACCAGGGAGACGAGGAAGAATGAAATTTGGCAGGGCAAAGCAACACAAAGCAAGCGCTGAGTGGGTCGCAGAAGGGGCCAGCCCTCTGAAGGGAAGGCGGGTTAGGGTTCAGGGTTCAGGGTTCAGGGTTCAGGGTTCAGGGTTCAGGGTTTAGGGTTTAGGGTTTAGGGTTTAGGGTTTAGGGTTTAGGGTTTAGGGTTTAGGGTTTAGGGTTTAGGGTTTAGGGTTTATGTTTTAGGGTTTAGGGTTTAGGGTTTAGGGTTTAGGGTTTAGGGTTTAGGGTTTAGGGTTTAGGGTTTAGGGTTTAGGGTTTAGGGTTAGGGTTTAGGGCTCGATGCCCAAATCCGAAGCCCCTACCCTTGTACTAAAGGGGCCTCAATAGCTAGACTATAGGGTTTTGGGGGTTATTAGAGTATGCATATACAGGAACCCTAAGGAAATGCTCTTAGTAGTTCTTGCGACCCCTACCAGTACCTGCAGGCAAGCAGCTTTATTCGACTAGGTTTTGGGGATTATTCTAGTATGCTTATACAGGGGCCACAAGTCTTTAAGGCTCCTTATTGTAGTTTCTACACAAACCCAAAGAGTTAAAGTAAAGTCCCAAGAGCCAGCCAGAAGAAAGCCAAGGCAGTACATATTCACACCCCTCTAGTACCCGCAGGCAAGCTGCTTGATCTTGCTGTCCGTCTGACTCTCGATGTCGCCGATAAGAGTCCCCCCTGGTCGGCCAGGCGAGGGCAGGGTTTAGGGTTTAGGGTGTAGGGCTTCGGGTTTAGGGTTTTGAGTTCTGGGTTTAGGAGGGTTTAGGGTGGTTTAGGGTTTAGGGTTTAGGGTTTAGGTTTAGGGTTACAACGTCATCTCAGAAAGGCAGCTAGTGGGTGGAGAGCCCGACTCTTGTTGCAGCCTGGGAGTTCGTGCGCCCTCAACCATCAATCGCCAACGAAGGGTTTAGGGTTTAGGGTTTAGGGTTTAGGGTTTAGGGTTTAGGGTTCAGTCCATAATTAGGACCGAACCTAGCTCCCTTTCACACCGCCGAAAGCCTCCTTTCTAACCATAAACCCAAAACACCTGCAGCCCCTTAAGCCGCCAAACTCTCCACCACCAAGTCTCCAAGAAACCTAAACCCTGAACCCTGAACCCTGAACCCTGAACCCTGAACCCTGAACCCTAAACCCTAAACCCTAAACCCTAAACCCTTAACCTCAAGACCGAGGCCATAAACCCCAGAAGCCACATCGAGGAACCCCGTCCCCGCCTCGCATGACATTGAGCATCTGCGATCCGCGGCAGAAGGTGAGTATAGGCACCTGAAACCCTAAACCCTAAACCCTAAACCCTAAACCCTAAACCCTAAACCCTAAACCCTAAACCCTAAACCGGGTGAGTATAGGCACCTGAAACCCCAGACAGAAGTTGGGTTGTTGAGGAATATGTAGGACTTCCAGGATTTATTCGCATTTTAGGGTTTAGGATGTATAGGATTTACTAGACCCGGGAGTAACCTAGGAATAGTACGCCGAAGTGACGTCGAAGAAAAACGCTGCATGTGCTGTCTTATGTGCCCTGGCGACAGCGAAGAAGGTCCTCAGGAGGTGGTGGCCGGACGGCAGCAGAGATCCGGGCATGCCGCCCTGGTGGAGCTCACGTGGCTGGAGCGCCTCAAGCAAGGCCGGCCGGGATGCCTTGCGGAGCAATTTGCCCGGCTCGTCGAACAAACAAATTGCTCTGTGGTTGGACCAGTCAGCGGCGTTTCCCTTGCCGCTGCCTTTGAATAGGCTGATCAACACAGTCGCCTTTGATTGAATCGGCTCTGTGAGACGAAGATGCGCCTTCAAAAAGAGAGGCATGATGGCCCTGGCAGCAGCCTTGGGATTGGCGCGCCATACCCAGCCTGGAATCTGGCTGGGACCGGCAGCCTTTCCAAGTTGAATAACTCCCGGTCCTAGTTTCATGCATCGGGTTTATAGGGTTGAGGGGATGTGCGGGATTCTAAGGGCCTAGGCTCTGAGGGCGGGATGGCTTCGGCCCCTAGATGGCTCAGCTTCTCGTGGGAGATTTGGAGCGCGCCCTAAACCCTAAACCCTACATATAACCCTAAACCCTAAACCCTATAAACCCTATAAACCCTATAAACCCTATAAACCCTATAAACCCTATAAACCCTAAACCCTAAACCCGCACATCTTGTCGAGGCTACTGGTCGCCTAAACCCCGCCCAAACTTAGGGTGTAGGGGCTAGGGTTTAGGGTTTTGGGTTTAGGGTCAATCGTTTAGGGGATTCCGTGCCCCAGAGAAAACTTTTGCTTCTTGAGGGTTTAGGGTTTAGGGTTTAGGGTTTAGGGTTTAGGGTTTAGGGTTTAGGGTTTAGGGTTTAGGGTTTAGGGGAGAACCCTTTTGCTTCTTGGGGGGGGGGGGGGGATAAGGACCTGAACTCCCAAACTTCCTGCTAAGACGTAATGTGCATCCCAAACATCCCAAACTTCCAACCCCAAACTTCTTGGACTTTCAGGTTTAGGGTTTAGGGTTTAGGGTTTAGGGTTTAGGGTTTAGGGATTGGGGTTTGGGGTTTAGGGTTTAGGGTTTAAGGTTTACACCCAGTCCAGTAACTTCAGACTCCCTTGAGGGCCCAAGCGCCACTCTTCGACTCGTCTACGCCAGGATGCCAGCGGACGTTAGGGCTGAGGGTTCAGGGCTTTGGGGTTCAGGGTTTAGGGTTTAGGGCTTTGGGGCTTTGGGGCTTTGGGACTTTGGGGCTTAGAGCTTTAGCTGAAACATGCATAGGGGGGATAGGGCTCAGGGTTTGAGGCTTAGGGTCTAGAGCCTGTCTAGGGCTTCCTACACCCTCAAGTCTAAGCCCCGTAGCCTCAACCCCAAACTCTAAGACCAAATCCCCAAGCCTCAAAGCCTAAACCCCAAAACTCTAACCCTAAAGCCCGACAACTTGGCTTTTATGAATATCAATCGTCGAGGCACGCCAGCTGCCAGCGCAAACTGCATGAGCGCAAACCTGACTATTGCCCCTAAACCCTAAACCCTAAACCCTAAACCCTAAACCCTACACCCTAAAACCTAATTTCTAATCCTTAGCCTGAGCTCCTAACCCAAAGCCAAAGTCACCTGCAAATCCGAAGAGCCCAGCCCTTACTTTAAGAAATCTTCCCTTTCGCAACAAGGACCTCACCCTGATTTTGGGGTTTAGGGTTCAGGGTGTTAAGGTTTACATGGGGCCACACATATAATATCCAAGCCGTGAGCCCCAAGTCCTTAACGGGTGGTGGCGAACGGGCCAAATAACCTCTGCGGCATCGCAAATCCCTAAACACCAAACCTAGACGACGGCCTTCGACAGGGGTCTCGGCATCGGGACTGTAGAATGAGGGCCTTCGGGTGTCGGAATCAGGGTTGGCTCCCTACAGCCTAGACTCGAAAGCCTAATTAGGCCTCAGGGCGTGATGGTAGGCCGGATTTCCGAAACGGCAAGCCCTCAAATTCTGCATTCACGCATGACCAGCACCCGAAACGCAGAGCTGCAAGCGTAAACACTGAACGAAGCCCGCAGCGCGCAGCAACCCTGAATCCCAACTGAAGACTCCAATGTCGTTTCTGCCGAGGTTCGTTGTGGCTGCTTATGAGGATATTTTCGCAACACCATAATCAAGAGGATGTGAACCCTAACCCTAAACCCTAAACCCTAAACCCTATACCCTGAACCCTGAACCCTAAACCCTAAAGTTTAGGGTTCAGGCTAAAAGCCTCACGAAGTGTCAACCCCAAGGGCACGAGAAGCCTCCACCTCTGAATTCAGAGACACAAACCACAACCCATTCTACTAAACCTGTAAAACCGAGATCCTAAACCCTAAACCCTAAACCCTAAACCCTAAACCCTAATCCCCCAAACCCTCGAACATCCTCACCAAGCGACTCCAGCTCGTCTTTGGACACATCCATCCTGGGAAGAAGCCGAGGGTTTTTTTTGGAGGAGAGGGGGGGGGGGGGTGCAGTAAAGAAAACTTGAGTGTCAGGTTTAGGGTTTAGGGTTTAGGGTTTAGGGTTTAGGGTTTAGGGTTTAGAGTTTAGGGAGCGGGAATTGGGGTTTTGCCCTAGGGATCGGAGATTGGAGTTTCAGGTTCAGGGGTTTATTGGGGGGTAGACCGTAGGGCTTAGGAACAATAGGTTCCCAAACACAACGTGTCGAGGGTTAGTTTAGGTTTTGGGTTTTAGGGTTTAGAGAACGTCGAGCAACGCCTAAACTACCCTATGGTGCCATCTTGAAACTTAAAAACCCTAAACCTTTAAACCCTAAACCCTAAACCCTAAACCCTAAAACCCTTAAAGCATGAAACCTGAAGCGCAAGCCCCTCCGTCCCGAGTAAGTGTAGCTCTTCGGGCTTAGAGAACCCTGGTTTCCAAAAAGGGAGCACATCTGTGTATTTAGGGTTTAGGGTTTAGGGTTTAGGGTTTAGGGTTAAGGTGTAAGTAAAGAATGAAGGTACTCGCAAGGACGAGCGCGGGACTAAGGACATCAGAAGGAAGAATGCGATGGATTCCACACTCTGCACATTTAGTCTGGCCACAACTAGAACCCTGCTCAGCCCTGCATCCTACACGCCAACTCCGCTTGTTGTTTTTGTCCGTTTAATCGTCTCCCTTCGTTCATTGTGGTGCAAGAATGGAATGCTGGCATGAAATACTGCTAGGAGCAGGGTACTACAGAGAGGGGATTCCACCCTCTAAGCCCTAAGCCCAGAGCCCAGAGCCCTGAGCCCTAAGCCCTAAGCCCTGTGCTCTGAGCCCTAAGCCCTAAGCCCTAAGCCCTAAGCCCTAAGCCCTAAGCCCTAACCACTAAACCCCCCAAACAAAAAAAAACTCATCATTAAGAGCCGAGCGGCTCCGTGTCGCTGGCAAACTTCTTTGCGGCTTCTCCGGTAAGGCGCTCGGGCAAACTGCAGCCATACCTTGCTTAGGGTTTAGGGTTTAGGGTTTAAAGGGTAAAGGGTAAAGGGTATAGGGTTTAGGGTTTAGGGTTTAGGGTTTAGCCTAGACACTTGACCCTTGAGCCCAAGCTCTAGAATCCTAAACCTGAAATTCCCAAAACCTAAACCCCGAAGTCAGATCCCAACCACCGAACTCCCAACATTTAAACCTGCCATCAGTGTAGAGTTTAGGGTTTAGGGTTCGGGAGGGCGGGGGGGGGGGGGGGCGGGGGGTTCCCTTGGGTTTAGGGAACCTGTTTTTAAGATCCTCTAAAGGAATTTAAGGGCCATGTTAGGAGTATATTCCGGGGAGCCTTTAAGGGGTACAACCTTGGGGGTACGAGCCTTAATCCCTTGATAAACCATGAACTAAAAACCGTAACCCTAAACCCCGCAAACCTCAAAACCCTCGAACCCTAAACCCCTGAGAGGGGACGCGACATATGGCTGGCAAAATTAGTGTTTAGGGACTGGTCTCATGGGGGGTTGAGTTTTTAGAGTTGGTCCATGTCCGTCTCCTATCCCCCCTTACATAGCTGTATAGGGGATGCAAGACTTAAGATACCTAGCTCCCTGATTCCAAACCCTAATCCCGAAACCCTAAACCCTGAACCCTATTAAGAGGTAGCAAGAAAAAGAAGTCAAGCCAGCAGGCCTTAAGGAAGAAACTTCACCAGCATTTCGGGAGTGGGGTTTAGGGTTAGGGTGTAGGGTTTAGGGTTTAGGGTTTCCCGATACGGTCTAAAGGTTTGTGGGGCTTAGGCGTCTGATGAGGGAAGGGGGTGGTTGAGAGTCCGGGGGTGTCTTTTCGCCTCAAGAGCAGAGTATCATGACTCCGTTCAGAAGGCCTTTGTCACAAACGCTAAGCCCTAGACACTAAGCCCCAGACCCTAAACCCCAAATCCTAAACCCTAAACCCTAAACCCTAAACCCTAAAAAGCCCCGAACCCAAACACCGTGCGAAGACCTGGCTGGGGTGCCCAGGGATTCCAATACTTGCTAGTCACTTTCGGGAACATGCCCTGGTTTAGGGTTTAGGGTTTAGGGTTTAGGGTTTAGGGTTTAGGGTTTGGGGACATTACCCTAAGGGTCCATGTACCTAAATAGGGAACACCTGGGCCTTAAAGTACCTCCTATTTGGGGACTTTAGGGCCCAAGTACATAAACATGAGGTACATGGACCCTTAGAGATAACTTGCGAAGTAGCAAAGAAGGATTCTCTAAGCACTCGGATCCCTACCACATATGTGAAATATTCCTGAATCAGAGGACTTGTGCAGCAAAGCCACTTCTTCAGAATGTCGTCGGACAGGTCATTGCCTTCGGCAATAACCAGTCCATCCATAGGCAAGTACTCGCCTTGGCTCAATCGAAGGGTAGTTTCATGGGCCCGTAATCTAGTTCCTAACCTCCTTTAAAGGTTCGGATGTGTGGGCCCTTCATTGCCCTGAGTTTGTATAGGGAATGTATAGGGCAAATGAAGGGGTAAAGAAGGGGTTCCCGTCTAGAACCTATACTATGGGACCATGTAACTACCACGCTGAGTCAACCGCTGAGTCATACAGCAGCCTGGCACGATCGTCCTCCAGCTCCATGAGATGCTGCCCTCTGAGGCCACTCGATAGTCCTCCTCGTACCAAGCGTCGGTGCTCGCCGCGTACCAGGACGCACTAAGAAACTTGGCGCAGTCCTTGCTCGTCCACACCACCATGGCACCCTAATCCCTGGGTTCATCGCCTTCGTTTGCCCCACTTTCCGAGGGTGCGAATACATCGTTATTTGCAGTTTTTCGTGCACATGACATGCGCTTAACATCGGTGTTTACGACTTCCTGGCATCGCTGCGCGCCAATGGCCAGAGCATCCAAATACATCGTTATTTGCCGTGTTTCCTGCACGTGACATGCTACAAACATCGGTATTTACGACGCTTCGTGGCTTCGTTGCGTGCGACTGGCCAGAGCATCCATGTCCGCACGATGATAACGTCCGTGTTACCAGAGCATTCATGTCCGCACGATGATAACGTCCGTGTTACCAGAGCATCCATGTCCGCACGATGATAACGTTCGTGTGACCACTGCGTGCAAATGGCCAGAGCATGCATGTCGGCACGATGATAACGTCCATGCAAAAGCACCGGTATTTACGACACTTCGTGCCTTTCTTCTGCCGGGGTAAAAAGCAGTTCTGCCTGCAAATACACAACATTTCCGTGCAGAAATGTCGGGTTTTTGGGGTTTGCAAGCTTGCCATTCCTCTAGACACTACCAGACATTGTTCGTGCCACCTCTCATCACCCGAACTGGACGCGAAAAAAACTCGGGTTTTTGCTGTTTTGTATTTGGTATTCCCGTGTTGCGGCGACGCCATGTTCAACTGGAAAAAATACGATTTCATCGCCCCTGCCATGCTTCTCAACAACTGCCCCGACAAGAAGCGGGGCAAACGATGGTGATGCACCCTAATCCCTGAACCCTGAACCCTAAACCCTGAACCCTAAACCCTAAACCCAAGACGCTGCTCAGGGCTTCCGGAGGCAGCTTGTAGTCCCTGGTGTTCCCCTGAGGGGCCCACGTATTCCCTATGCTAAACCCTAAACCCTAAACTAAACCCTAAACCCTAAACCCTAAACCCTAAACCCTAAACCCTAAACCCTAAACCCTAAACCCTAAACCCTAAACCCAAAGGGGTTTTGGGGGACTCAGGGCTTTGAGGGCCAAGAGACCCCAATACCCCCGAAACCTTAAACTCTACTACCTTGGGGACGAAATGAACCCTAAAAGGGTTTATGGCTCATATACCATAATAGGAATTATAGTGGTATAGGGTATATGACCCCAATTTTGGGGTTCATTTCGTCCCCAAGGTACTTTTGCTTAAGACGCCCCCCCACAAATGAAAGATCACAACCTCGATCTTGCCCCTATCAGGAAGAATATCTTTTCTTAAACCAGGAAGAATATCTTTTGTGGGCTCTTAAACAAATCTTATCCAATCAATTTGGGGGAGATTCCGCATAAGGGCCTAAGCCCTCGAGTATGATAGGGATCCTTTCTTACTAAGGGGTTTTTTGGAGTCTTTGGCTTCAGAACGCTTTAGAGTGCAGGCTTTGGGGTTTAAAGTACAGGTTTTGGGGTTAGGGTTTAGGGCCGGGAGATTGCGACCCAGGGCTGAAGGAGGCATAAGCTGCCCCCTTAGGGTTTCCGGCGGTCTCGGGTGGGAAACGCGGCATGAACTGGACTTCGTACGTACACTAAGCCCTGAGCCCTAAGCCCTCAGCCCTCAGCCCTAAGCCCTAAGCCCTAAGCCCTAAGCCCTGAGCCCTGAGCCCCAAGCCCTAAGCCCGAAGCCCTCAAAAAGCCCGAAACCCTAAGCCCCAAGCGTCAAGCCCCAAGCCCTAGACCCTGAACCATTTCCTACATGTGATCTTCTGTAACCCGATAAGCAAACATCACCTATCAATTCCCCCAAGCGCCTAGCTAGTTTGGGTTGGCCCTTAAAACCCAATCCTAGTCTTCTTAAACCCAATAGAGGAATTATTAAACACAATAAGGGAACATGTAAAACAACCAATAGGTCTATCTAGCAGTCTAGAGCGGCAAAACACAGGAAACCCAAATGATGTCCAATCCTCAGCTCCCAAACCTTGAAACCCAACACCCAAAAACCTATACCCCGAAACCCTCAACCTCAAACCCTACACCCTAAACGCTGAACCCTAAGCCTACGTTAACCCCAAGCCCTAAAGCTCGTGAGCTGGCGCCATCAGAAACAAAGGAGTTGAGGGTTTGGGGTTTAGGCTTGAGGGTTCAGGGTCCTCTCCCGTACCCTAAACCCTAAACCCTAAAAACCCTAAACCCTAAACCCTGGAGCCTAAACCCTAAACCCTAAACCCTGAACCCTAAACCCCCTCGGGTGCGTCTCAGGGCGCAAAGCTGTGCGATGGTCTTGGTCGTGCGAGGCAGGATAATGGGAGCGCCCCCATAGTCCTTCTCTCACAAATCTCCCCTAAACCCAAACCTTCAACCCTAAACCCTAAACCCTAAACCCTAAACCCTACAGCCCAAACCCTATACCCTGTGCCCTAAACCCTACACCCTAAACCCTTCAGGTTTCAGGCGTTAGGGGACTTTTTCGCTTGAAAGTCATCCGAGTTGATCCCTAAGCCCTGGAACTTGAAATCCCGAGCCCGAAACCAACCTAAACCCTATAAACCCTATAAACCCTATGAACCCTATAAACCCGATAAACCCTATAAACCCTAAACCCTATAGACCCTATAGACCCTAAAGCCCAAACCCTGAATCCTGAATCCTGAATCCTGAACCTTAGCCCATGCCTAGCACCAAACCCTACGGAAGCAGCAACCAAACAGTTGTAGGTAGTTGGGTTTAGGGTTTAGGGTTTAGGGTTTCGGGTTTAGGGTTTAGGGTTTAGGGTTTAGGGTTTAGGGTTTAGGGTTTAGGGCTTAGGGCTGAGATTTTGCAGGGTGAATGCGTCGACATGTCCTGGATAAGGTCCAGGTGGAACTCGCCGGTGATGTCCACGTACCTGGTGAGACTGGCGAGCGTTTGGGGTATTGCGGTGCCCCCAAAATAGGATAAAGCTTGCCCTACACCCTGGACCCTAAACCCGAAACCCTAAACTTCCCTGGCACCTCCTGACCATGCATGGAAAAACAACCTGAGGCCTCAGACAGAATCAGCTGGAACACCCTAAGCCCCAAACCCTAAACTCCCTCTGCGGTTAGGGGGGGGTTAGGGGTTTTGGGTTTTAAGGTTGCGGGGAGTGGGGGCTTAGGGGTTTAGGGGCTGGGTTTGGGGGGTATTTATCTGGAAAACTCCTCAACCGTGAATGGTATATTAAGGAAGCCAAAAGCCCCAAATAAACGCCACGGTTTAGGGTTTAGGGTTTAGGGTTTAGGGTTTAGGGTTTAGGGTTTAGGGTTTAGGAGGGGTAAGCTACACTCTGAGCACCTCAGGCTCTTCGTGCCATAAAACGCCCCCGCCCCCCCCCCCTTTCCCCCCCCCTCCCCCGCGTTTCGAAAGTCAACCCTGTGAAAACCAACCCTAAACCCTAAACCCTAAACCCTAAACCCTAAACCCTAAACCCTAAACCCTAACCCCACCCCCCCCGGCAAACCTGGGCCACCCCCTAAACTCTCAACCCTAAGCCTTGTACACTCCTCGACCCAAAACCTAAAATCCCGAAACCCGAAACCTTATAAACGAAAGACCCTAAAACTTATATCCCGAAACCCTAAACCTTAGACACATCTAACACCTCGTTAAAACAAATAAACAAAGCCTAAAGCCTCAAAACCTCTAAATCACCGAAAAAAACCTTAAACCAGAAATAAACCCTCTACATCTTGTGAATCCTATAAGCCCTATAAACCCTATCTGCGCTAAACCCTACCCTAGACCCTAAACCCTAAACCCTATAAACACTAAACCCTAAACCCTAAACCCTAAACCCTGAACCCTTAAACCTGAACCCTGAACCCTGAACCCTAAAGCCCTGCCCAGCTGCTTGTTCTTCCGCAGGTACCGGCGCGCAACGCAGAGGATCCTCGGGAATCCGGCTGTTCAAAGAGCCCCTGTGCTATAAGAGGTTTTAAGGGTTTAGGGTTTAGGGCTAGGGTTTAGGGTTTAGGGTTGTAGGGTTTGGGGCTAAACCCGGAGACCCCAAACCCCTCAACTCCTACACCCCCAAGCCCCGCATTACACCCCCAAGCCCCTAACTTAACCCTAGTCGGACCTCTAAACCCCAGACCCTAAACCCTAAACCCTAAACCCTAAACCCTAAACCCTAAACCCTAAACCCTAAACCCCAAGCCCTACACCCCAAACCCTACACCCCAAACCCTAAACCCCAAACCCAAAAACCTAAACCCTAAAGCCTGAACCCTAACCCTAAACCCCAAACCCAGTGTGAGGGTCAAGGGTTAGGGGTTTGGGGTTGAGGATGCCTTTACCTCTGATCAGAATGGCCAACTGAGATCGAACAAATATGAAAAAAACTCGTAGTGCCTAATAAACCCTAAACCCTAAACCCTAAACCCTAAACCCTAAACCCTAAAACCTAAACCGGACAACCCCTGAAGCCTTCTAAGCCTCAAACCCTGAACCATCACCAGCCCCTTAGGACTCTAGCGGCTCTCAATGATTTTAGGGTGTTGGGCACGAGGGCCGAAAGGAAGCAGCTAATATACAGGACCTTAATAATTGGAATAGGGTTTTGGGGGGTTGTTCTAGTATAATTGCAAGGGACCATAAGGGAATACTATCAGTAATCATTCCGACCCGTATATTACCACTGAACCTATCCTCTTGTGTTGACACACTTGGCAGCACCGCCTCACACCAGAACCCCAAAAGGCAACCCCCCCTCAACCCAGCCCACGTGAAAAGGTGCGGTTTAGGGTTTAGGGCTTCTAGGGTGTTAGGGTTTAGGTTTTATGGTTTAGGGCTTAGAGGGTCTAGGGTTTAGGGTTTAGGGTTTAGGGTTTAGGGCCAGTCCAAGCATCCGTGGGTACGCAGGAGCCTGTAGCTCGGTGATGGCCAAGAACCTTCTGCCGTGGTGCTTTCAAGCGGTCAAAAATCCTGAAGCCCTGAGCCCTGCGATTAGGGTTCAATTTGGGTTAAGTTAGGGTTACATGAGGGTTAAGTTAGGGTTAGATTAGGGATTAGGGTTAAGTTAGGGTTTT